CGCATTTTGCTGGACTAACTGGTTCATTCCTTCATGTAAGGTTTGAACCTGCTGTTCCAACGCTGCGACGCGTTCCTGATCATTTAGGACGACGGGAGCCTCATCGCTTGATCAGAAGTTTGCAACGCTTCATCCTCGCCAGCAACCAAACCAGATCGCAATCGAACCATGCTTTGTTTAGAGAACTAAAATCGTTCCCACAGACGACGCCAGCTATTGATGATGGATTCTGCGCAACCCGGATATGATCTGACTTCCTGAACAGAGAAAAGAAAAGGTGATTTTACAAGCACCGGTGTGTTACTGGTAGAGTAGGCTCCGACGAACAAGTCAGTGTGCGAAGTAATCTCTTATGGTAAATCAAGAACTTGAGTAAGTTTTTTTGCGTACCTCAAAACGTTGATTAACCTGCCTTCTTTATAGGGCTTAGGTCAAGATGTCACGTAAAATTACCTTATCGTAATCTGTAGACTTAATCCTTATCGTAATCTTTAATCTTTAATCCTTATCGTAATTTGTAAAGCCTATCTCAATCTTATGAGATAGTGCAATAATTTAGCAATCTTCCCTTAATCACGGATATTTAAATTATACATCCATCATTGTATATTAGCAGTGCAGAGCTAATTAGATATAATCTAAATGCATTGATTTTTTATTTTATTTTATTTTTTCAAATTTTAATATATAACACATAAAACTGAGTTGTTCTTCTAGTTAATGCCTTTAATAGAGTACAATTAAAACTTCACGAGATGATAATGTACTACTGTTTTTGTTGTGTTCGGCAGTATGGAATTGAAATTGGTGTAATTTGAAGAGAAAAAAAATGGTTCAATTTTCTCTGTTGTTTTTCTCAAATTTTAATTCTAATACTCCAATTTCATGCAGTCAAACGCGCACCCTATGTTTATAATATTTCTCTAACTTATATGACAAACACATCTTTAATACTTGGTTCTCTTATTTATGAGTTATAGAGACTAGTACCATTTAGCTTTATAAATATAGGTTGTGTTCAGCTGTATGGAATTAGAATTTTAGAAATTAATAAAATTGGAGAAAATTTTGATTCAATTTTTTAGTTACTTTTTCCGATTATACTAATTTCAATTCCAAATAGTCGAACAAATGAGCTTTTGTTTATTAATTGAATCTAAATGTGCTAAATAAAAAGTAATATTAAATTTTAATATGAATATACATTTCCATACTTAAATTAGACTGTGACATATGGCTATTAATTTTTTTTATAAAAAAATCAGAATAATTATTAATTCATTATTATTTTTTTTTTGGGTTGACAAGAAAGGTATTTCTACATTTGAGACCCTTCTAACTTAAACGACATCCCAATTTATCTATCATGTAAGTTCGAGTAAATCGTGAAGAATCAAAGACCACCACAAGCAAAAATTGATAATTCTCTGGTTGCCGAAATTTATTTTTTTAATTTGATCACATAACAAATAATTCTCTATGTAATGTACCCCTTTAATCAACTTATTTTTTCTCCAAATTTGGGATCGACTGTATTTTCACAATGTATTATGTGTTTACCAATACTTGTTTCTTGCTGTCTTTGAAAATCATGAAATATTAGAAATAGATATAGATATTATGTTGAGGTTTAGTTCAATGATCTTTAAACGAATTGGTCATTTTCAAAGTAAAAAAAAAAAAGATAGTGTTATTCGAGTAGTTGAGTTGCTTCCCTTATTATAAAAGACAATCCACGATGAGTGGATCATGATAGGTGGGAGATTCCATTAGGTGCTTCAATGTACATTATGTTGTCATTCGGGCAGGTTCATGATGAGTGGATCATTATAGGTGGGAGATTCCATTAATATTATGTTGTCATTCGGGCAGGTTGGATGTACAACTCAAGTCCCACGCAACATATAAAATGTTTAACTCTAATCCAATTTCCAATCTAACCACTTGATTTGGACTCAACTCATCATTAAAATTTTAAACTTGGGTTTGTATATCTGGTTGAAGCTTCACGTTCACCTTAGAAATTGGCAAAGTTAGTCTTAACAGGATAAATTTAATATAATCATGAGTTAGTTTTATATTAGCATACTCCAAATCATAAAATAAATATATAAATAAACTAAAAATAAATAAACAAATTATTAGAAAATTATTTTTGTGAAGTGTTAACCTGTAATAAATTAAGATTTATACAAAGAAAATTTAAAAGGAAATTATTTCAACTACTTAAATTACTTTATAGCTAAAATATTCTTCAAAACTGAGTCTGCAGATGTAGAAATATGAATTGATGAACAGTACTCAACAACAAAGTTGCAAAGATTCCTTTGATGCTACATCAGTTTTTTAATTTTTTTATAAATAGGAAATTAAAAAAGCAAAAAGGACAAGATCGTTGGCTTTTATTCCGCTTTAAAAAGTTAAAAATTCAATTCCCACTCTCGATAAAGAAGCGTGTACAGTACTCGGAGATGATTTGGAGGCAACTGAACCGAAAGATGAGTTGAAATTCACGCGCGAGGAGGAGTGTGGGGTCGTTAAAAAGGAATGCGAAAGTGACACGTAGACTGAGGCGTTAAAGTTAAAGGAGGGACATTCATTCATCACGGTGGATGTACTGCAACGGACTACGGAAATAATATAGTTAATTATTTTAGAGAGAGGAGAGAGAAAAAAGATGGTACGACCAACGTTTTCTGCACTTGTCTGCTCTCTCTCTCTCTCTCTCACACACACACACACATCTTTCTCTCTCTGTAGTTTAGCGCTCTGCCTAAGGATTAATTTATTAAAAATAAAAATTTAGATCTTTAGCAGAAGTGCACCCAAAAAAAAAAAAAAACAAGGGAGTAACTAAATGAAATCGGAAACGACCAAACTGAACCGATGAGTCTAATTCAATACTTTTTATAATTTAGTTTGATTTCTATTTTAAGAATTTAAAATTAATTATTTATAAATAATTTAGTTTTGATATAAAGTTATACTAAACAAATCAGGACTGATCTAAATACTGATAAATCGATTAAATTTGAAATTTGTTGTTTGTTTTTTCTATCATGTTTTTCATTCTGTCAATCATGCAACATTTTTAAATTATAAAAACTTGTGAATAATGGAATGGAAAATCGAACACCTCTCCGTTCATTTATAATGTATGTGAAACTTAAACAAGAGTTTTACTTTCACCATCCAGTAAATGAGGGGATATTCAATTTCCGTTTGATAAAAATTTAATTGAATAAAAGTTCAAACACCTCTCCGTTCATTAGATAATGTATGTGGAACTTTTCAAAGAAGAGTCCCACGTTCAACATTCAGTGGATGGGAGCCATTTTGTTTGAAACTTTAATTATGTTAGTCATTTTTCTTAAAGAAAAATATCAATTAATTAACATTAAAGTTCTTTTATTTATTTTTTATTATTTAAAAACGTGAAAAAAAAAATCTTTTTTTTAAGTATAATTGATGAATTATTGTTTTGGTGGTCCATCTTCTTATGAGTTACTTTTTAATAAGTGAGGCCTTTTGAACACATTATTTGTTCTTGATGATTCTGTGACGATAGGTATTAAGTTGCAACTATTGTACATAATGTAAGAGAGAGTTAGAGGTGAAAATTTTAGTGTAGAGAATTAAGTACCACAAATTGACATTATAATACTATGTTTGAAAGTATCAAATTTGTACCATGAATCTCGAGTCGGAGAAAATTTAATTCAAAGTCTTAAAATAAATTTTCCTCTGACTTCAAGTCCAAAGGGTCCATTTTGTGCACCAAAAGCAATTTCTTCTATTTGGAACCTTTGTATTCTAAGAAGATTTATTAGTTGATTTATACACCCTCTGTCCCAAAATACATATAATGCATTTGGAATCTAACTTTTCATAATAACAGAGTTTTAATAATTTTTTATTGTATGGATAAGAGTGAAGTTTAAAATGTGTCCCTTATTAAAAGACAAAATAGTATTTCTTAATTAATATACTTGTTTAGGTAAAATGATAATTTGAGAATGTTATAAAAAATAATACATCTAATTTTAGAATAGATAAATATTTTGGAAAAAAGGAAGTAATATTGTTATGATAGAAAGCGCCATTAAAACATTAATGCATTCATTAATTCCCTAAGGGGCATTCCACAACTTGAGGAGGTAGAAAATTTGAGATATAGTCAAACTGTCCATTTTAGTAATCTCTAGCTTAAATTAAATGCTAACTATCTAATTTGGTCTAAGCACAAATAATATATCATTTGCATCTACAGTATAAAAGTATGTTATGATTTGAATTAATTTCAAGACAATTAAGGTCTGTAACCTTGTCTTGTTCATGCTTGGGTGAGCGTGGGTGTCCAAATTTATAAAAATTAAAATTCAAAAAAAATTCTTATTTACTAAGGTGTTGTTTATTAAATTATAATTTTAAATAATCCAAATTTATAAAAATTAAATTAGAATTAGGATGAAATTGAAACTACTAATTTTATCAATTTCAATAATGAGACTCCAATTTTACGGAATTGGACATATATGAATCGCACAATCTAAGCGGTTTGATTGAGATCTGTGTATGATATGATTTGCGGCACTATTTAGAAAACCCTCTAGTCTACGATTGGACACACATCTCTTCCATTCCACATGCACGACTCGAGTCAAGTCCCCAAAATTTTTAGTTACGTGAAGGTCACAAACACTGTTTTTCTCCTCTGTCACGATAACATAACGCTTTAGTTTTTTCCTTTAATTACGAATTTACGAGAATGTTAGCTGTTACGGGTAAAACAATTTCTAGTCCTAGAGAGAGAATTAGTAGTAATCTCCTAATTACATGACACACACATATATATTTTATATATATCTATATCTATATATTATTATATAATTGTACCTGCCAAGTACGTCTACCTGTACCTCTCAACCATCTCCAATGACCTTTCTATGTGTACACGCATATTTAATTCCCAGCCTTTTCCCAATATTTATATCCCTCACTACTCCTACCACGCTCCCCATCTCTCTCTCTCACTCTAAAACAACCCCCCACACTCTCTCTCTCTACAACTCAACCCCCCTCTCTATATCAGCACACCACATCCCTCACTCCTTCCCCTCTCTCTCTCTCTCTCTCTGTTTTTTCCGTTACAATTTCCCTCTGTTTCTCTCTCTAGAAGTTCAACAGTGATGAAGCAGTTGATCCGACGACTCTCGCGCGTGGCCGACTCCTCGCAGTACTGCCTCCTCCGATCCGACACGCGGCCGTCGCGCCGCTCCTCCAAGGGTCGCCACTGCGCGGCCCGATCCGGCGGCGTTCCGGAGGGGCATCTCCCGGTCTACGTCGGCGAGGAGATGGAGCGGTTCGTAGTCAGCGCGGAGCTACTCAACCACCCGATCTTCATCAAGCTGCTCAACAAGTCGGCGCAGGAGTACGGCTACGAGCAGAAAGGTGTTCTTCGCATCCCCTGCCATGTCCTCGTCTTCGAACGGGTTCTCGAAGCGTTGCGTGTCGGCGACGACGACGCCCAAGATCTCGTTAACGCCTTGTCCTCCGATGACTTTCTCTAGAGTTTCAACAGCGCGAGATTAGAGCAGATCTTGATCGATCGATCCTACAATTAGATGATATGATCGTTCTTTTTTTTTTCTCCTTCTGTATATACACCCCCTACTTTTCACCAAATGGAGTCGAATTAGGGTTTTGTGAAAGAAACTTCTTGGTTGTGGTGTACTATAAAGAGACTATATACTCTTTTCTCACTGAAACAAATATGGAATTTTACTCTTTTCTTTATTTTTTTATTGGCCCTAATCTCACGTTCTTTGCTCAATTTATTTTCCCTGCGTTGTTTCTCGAGAAAATGCATGAAAAGAAAAAGATTCCAAGTTTTCTGTTCTTTTCCTCCCTTATTCCGGTGACCAAACGGATTTTTGTACGGTTTTACGACGTCGTTTTCTAAAAAAAAATCAATGCCTGAGATTGATATTTTTGGGATTTAATAGATTGATTACTAATTTTGCCGACAGGAAATTGATAAAATTTACAGATGTTGTACTCAACGTTGAGAGGTGTGACCGTCGATGACTAGAATCATCGAGACCCGAGAAAGATATAATTTCAACAGTTTCTGTAATTTGCGTAATTTCCGGTGGTCCTTTGCGGCATTCAAGGCTAGTCTTGTTGAACTAAATCTAAGAAACTAGGGGTTGTGTTTGTTATTTTTGTCTTTCAAGGAGGGTAGTTTCGTCAAATTTCTTCATCACTCACTTGTGTATGGATATCCGGATATGCTATGAGATGAGATTAGATGATGGGAATATTTATTTTTTTTTGGGTAAATAAAAATTTATTCTTTGTCATCTTAGACATCAAATCCTAGCACGTTCATTTTTTTTTGGTGTTGATTGTATGTTTGATTGCTTTTTAGTTTTTATTAAAAAAACAAAAAAATTATTGGGGAATATTTTTTTTTAGATAATGATTTTTACAACTTCAACCGAAATTAGATTCTATATATATCACACGGAGACACAGGACTTGAGTTGAAGTGTACTATTATTATTTTTATAAAAAATAAAAAAATAATTGTATTTACATAAGGTTTTGAGAGGTTTGGATGGACAATAGGTGCTAGCTTTTTGAAAAAGTTATAAGTTCTTTGTTTCTTTTTGGGGTTAGGTGAAATTATTATGAGTGACATAAATCGTAATGATAATATCATTACTGGTCTATTGAATGTTCTTTAAATAAATTGCAATCAAGAAAGTGGGTACATGGTGGGGGAGCAAAACTAGATTTTCACTTTTTATAAAAGATTAATTTAATTACCAGGTTGAGAGCTCTAACAATGGATCCAATTGATTAATTGGGAGGAGATTTTACTCTTCACATAGCTAATATGGTCCATATTTTTCTTAATACATCGCAGGAGTAATGATTTAGAAATGAAATTTATATTATTGAATTCAATTTATGTAAAAAGAACGGTGGGTCCTATCATATAACATTATGATCAATGTGATATCATATGGTCGAACTCACTATTATACTGAGATAAATTAAATTTGATAATTTTATTTTAAGTCAATATTATCAAATCAAATTAGGAGTCCATTCAAATAAGGAGTGCATTTCGAAAACGAAACCTTAATGATTTACCTCCTAAATTTCTGTTAATATCGTCGGACTAAATTTTTATGTAGTGTTTTGAGATAAATATAATGTTGAACATCGCCGGACTAAATCTAAGTAGTAATTTCAAAAAAATACCAAAATTAACATTACTAGGTTGAGAGATTGACTATATCTAAGTAGTAATTTAAAAAAATATCAAAATTGACATTACTAGGTGAAAATCTCTCAACCATCAAAATGTACATTTCTTTTGAGTACCACCAAACACGCTTCTACATGCCCAACAACACTAGACCATGTTATTGGTACTGCCTTTTTAACATTGAAACCTCCATTTGTTTCCAACACTAAACAATTTTTCCATACAACCCTGCAAAAAGGTGTTTCAACCCAACACTAAAACACGAAGTTAAGATAACCACACTATTACACACACACACACACACACACACACACGTAGGCACACATTTTAAAGGATTAATGACATGTTCAGGAATTTCAATTCCAAGAACCAATTTGGTTGCTAGTTTGATGAGATTATTGATAATTAAATACCCATGGACAACTAAATACCATGAAAAAGAAAATTTTTAAATCCCAACTATCCAAAATTTATATTTTTCAAAAAATTTTAGGAAAATTTGTTAAATTTGATTTAGGAAAAAAATTAGTTAAATTTGCTAATTAATTAAAATTGTTTTGTAGGCCTATAAGGACATTTTAATCATTTTAGAAACTCAAGTGCAAGAAAGCAATGTATGTATTTTCTTAAGGCTATATTATAAGTAAGAAGCAATTGAATTAGAAATATTTTAATTAGTAGCATCTTCAAAGTCTAAAGTACATGTAAATAATTAACAACAATCTTTACTCCCAATAAATCTTGACTTTAAAGAATTAGAATTATTAACAAACAAATGATTATATTGAATTAACCATTATCTAAAAAAAAAATGTCCCACTAGGTTAATTTATTAAAACTTACAATTATATAAGAAGCAAACTAAATTAGAAATAATTAAGAAGTAGCATCTTTTGAAGTATAATTAAAGTACATATAAATAACAACAATCTTTAATCCAAAGAAATGTTGACTTTAAAGAATTGGAATTATTAGACAAACGAAATGGAATTGAATCAACAATTGTCCAAAAATGTACTTATATAGGTTTTAATCAAACTTAGAATTATATGTATGTACCTTGTCATCCAAGCGTCAGTTAGGGGTCTTCCCCACCTAAAACAATGTGGACGTGTTTAATGGATAAAAACATTTGACACCTAATACGATTAGGTAAGTCTTAGGTGCGCATTACGCTCACAAGGACAATATATATATGTGTGTGTGTGTGTGTGTGTGTGTGTGTGTGATTTAATTATGAGAGGAATATTACTTCAGGTGTAGGTTAGAAGGTCACAAACAAGAGATCATGAACAATAATTAGTGGGAGAATCAGCCTGTAGTCTTGTATGGCTATCATGTTGGGTCAATGACCCCACGGGAGGAGACTTGGTTGTGCAACTTTCTCGAGAAACAAACAGACAGTGATTTACAAAAACATCATGTATCATGTAGACTTAAAAGCACTTGATTTGAGGAGTTAATCGAGCACCAAATGGCCCCCACCGTACACGATACGATGTATGAAAATGATGCTTCGAATGCACAAATCCACGTTATAGTCTCTTGGGATAAGGCACCATAAAATGCCAAGAAAATTATGTGATCTTTGTTAATTTGGGGATATTAAAAAGTTTAAATTATTATATTTAGAGAGTTTAGGGGCGGTTTGTAGAATGGAAACGGAAGGAAAAGAAAAGAATGATAATGAAAAGGGATAAAAAATGTGTTCAGTAGATAATATTGAATGGAAAAAAAAGAAAATAAAGGATAGAATAAGACACAAATAATAATTAGTAACTTTTGTTATCTTTCAAACAATGGGACGATAGAGAAGAAGAAAATAATATTTTTAATGAAATTTTGTTAATAACAAATTTGTTTTTATTTTTATAAAAGAAAATTTCTATGAAAAAGGGTAAGTTTGTAAATTCATTACAATAATTTCATTTCATTTCATTTCTTTCGTCAAATATGATTACTATTATTTCATTTCTTTTTCGTTTGGTTAGATAGAAACAACTGGAAAAGAAAGGAAATAAAAAATTTTAAAACATTTTTATAATTTGGTTAGATAGAAAAAGAAAAATTCTAAAAAATTAGGAATCTTGTAACCCTTTATTTTCTTCAAAATGTTTCTTCACAAAACATGGGAAAATTTTATTTTCTCACGAAAGCGTGTCTTTTTATTTAGTTTTTCTATTTTACCCAACAATTTCATTAATATTATTTTACCCAATAACTTCATTTTATATTTGGAGACAACAATAATTTTTTACTAAGTTTCAAATAATTGGAGTTCACTAACAACTTTATCATTGATAAATTTTTAATTAACTTGACTTCCTCTCTTAGTTTTTTTCATCATATATGAATAATAATACTTCAAAAGGTCTAAATTAATTGAAAACTTTATAATTTTTTAAATATATTTTATTACTAATTCTTTATTATATATTATTTTATAAAAGAAGGGCAATTTAGGTATCCAAACTACAATATGATATTTTCCTACCATTTCTCGAAGAAATTTTCACCATAAACAAATGCATACTAGAAAATCAATTTTCCTTTCATTCACTCTATTTTTATTTTCATTTTCTATTTCTTTTCCTTTCTTACTATTTCCATCTAACCAAACGGAGCCTTATTAATCAACTAAACACAACAAACAATTACACTATCCTCTCATTTTCAATATATTTTTTTCCTCTCCTAATTAATGTTATAATTTCTTTTTCACTGCACCAATTTGAAGTAATAAATAAATAACAACATGTGAAGATAAGATGATATACATCTAACTCTCCTTTATAATTGTCTGTGCAACACACATATCAAAGCGAACGACTCAAATAACTCAATGCGCATCGAACACACTAAAAATATTCTTCCTCTTCAGACCTTATAGCAACGGGAGACTCACCGGCCCTTTTAGGGCTCTTTGGTGCAGAGTTCCCGATCCTTGAATTGATTATAATTTGTGTTTAAAATTTAAAGTGGGACACTTTATAACTGTAGTTTTGTTTGACTTACTCAAAGATGGTCATGTTCTTGAGTTTGACTGACTCTGATTTTATTTTTTTTAAGATTCGGATTGGACCATTCTTAATTTGGAAGTAAACTGTACATAGCATGAAGAGGCACAGAAGTCTTAGACCTCAGAATTAAAAAAAAGAAAAATTGCAGTGAAGTCTAGAGTTCTCAAGATTGAAGAAAGTGGAAAATCTTGATGCAAAACATTCACATGCCCCTTCAAATCATTATTAGGGTTTATTTTATTCTATCATTCACATGTCTCTTCCATCTATTCTTAACAAAACTTTAATTTAATTTATTGGACCCCACCAATAAAAAAAATATATTTTATTTCTATTAATGCAACAATATT